TCCTGCTCCTGCTGCTCCTGCTGCTGCTGCCGCCGGCCTCGCCCCCGGGACAGGTGAGCAGCCTCCGGGGAGGGAAGGAGGGAGGGAGGGAGGCCGCCCGTCCGCCCGCCCGCCAGGAGCTTAAGCGCCTGCAGCTGGGGAGAAGCGCCCCTTCCCGGCCCGACCCGAGGGCAGTCAGGGTCTGGAGCGGCTGGGGCAAGGCGGCCTCTCTCCGGCCAGAAACGGGGCCGTCGGGACCCGGGGGCGCTGGGGGACCCCTCTGAGTCACCGCACCCCCGAAAGTCAAATCCTCGGGCACGCAAAGAGGCCTCACTCCGAGCGCAGCTGGTCAGCCAGGTTCCAGCAGTTACGGTTCCGGGAGGCAGACACTGTGTGTTTGTGTGTGTGTGTGTGGGGGAAACACGACATGCAGACTGCACCTCCCATCATCCTCCCCCTTTCAGCTTTGCTGGCTAAAGCGGAGGAGAAGGGCTGCTCGACCACATGGGCCAAGAGAGCCCCCACCCCCCTGCTCCTCTCTCAGCTGGATCCAGGAAGTCGGAGCACTGCAAGAGCCTTGAGACCCAAAGGCTCAGCGGCGTCCCCCCCCCTCCCAGTGGGCACAGAGTCAGGCCAGAACTCACCCGCCCTGCGCGCTTCCTTCGCGGGAGTAGGTCCCTTTGGGCCCCGAAGGAGGGGGCCCCTCCCAGCACGGGGGGGGGGCTGTGGGCGGCCTCACCTGTTGCGAGACTTCTACTCCCCTTGACCCCAGGCAGCCAGGCTCCTAGAGAAGGAACATGGGAGTTGTGATCCAACCTCTGGTGGGCCATGATTCCTCTCTTTTCTCGCTTGTTTGCATAAAAGTCAGAGGCTCTTCTGTTCCTCCAGGGGATCATCTCTGGAGGTCTGTTCCATGACCTCCCTCCACATTGTTTCTGGCCTGTTTCTGCCTCACCCCTGGGCCTTTCAGAGCAGGGCGGTGTGCGTGGGATGGCTGCGAGGAGAGGGGGAAAGAGCCTGCCCGTCAGTCCGTCAGAAGTCTGTCTGTCTGTCTGTCTCTCTCCAGGGACCCCCGATTTGGCCAGAGGCGGAGGTGAGTCTCCTCCCGCTCTTTGGTCTCGGGAACCCTTTCCTGCTGGGTGGCAACCAGGGCAGGCATCCATCAGCAGAACACCCACAGAAAGAGTGGTTTGGTCCCTTCTCTGAACAGCCACAGAAACCCCTCATAACACCACAAGCAAGGCGCCGCTTCCCCAGAGCAGAGCCGAGAGGCAGGCCGAGAGAAGGGAGCTCCCTCCTCTTTCCCACCCCTAAGCAAACTGCACAGGATTGCTGTGTGGAAATGAAGTGGGAGGCCGAGTCCCCTGAGAAGACGAACCCCCCCCCCGGCGCCTTGGAGGGCGTGTGGACTCTGGCTTTCAAGGAACTAACCAGTTGGAGTGTGTGTGTGTGGACACGATGGCTGGAGGCTTCTGAAGATGGAGCGCTGGAGCAGTGACCGGGTGGGCCAGCGGGTCACGCTGCTCCCCTTGAAAAGCTGCAGCCCCGCAAGAGAGGAGAAATCGGGGTCAGCCCAGCCCTGGATCCACAAGACAGCCTTTTAAAAGTTCCACAGGGTATACGAGCAGGGGTTCTAGGAAGCCACATGTTTCCTGGACGTTGTGATGATTGCCATCAAGTCACTTCTAATTTATGGCAAGCAACTCTATGCCTTAGTGACCACCAGGAGCGCCCCCACCCCGTGAACAGCCCCCTCGGCTCTTGCCGGCTGGAGGTGGCGACTTCCTTGGTCAAGTCCGCCCACCCCATCTTTGGCTGGCCTTCCTCTTTCTTCTCCCAGAATTGCTGTCTTTTCCTGCGAGCCTGGTTTTGTGGTGATGCAACCGAAGAGGCACGATCGCCTCGGGCTGTTTCGGCCACTCTCTCAAACTGACATCTAGGCACGAACTCTGCGCCATTCAGGGGCGACCTTTCTTGCTGTTCCCCGCAGAAGGATTTGCGCTCCTCCTTCCCCTCACCAATGGGGTGCTCTTCTGCCACTCAGGTATCTGCCAGGTGAGTGTCCTTCCTTTGCCAGCTCCGGTTTAGCCTCATGGAAGGGCAGTGGGGCTGAGCACTTGTCCTCTCCAGACCCATGGTGGTGTGTTTGCACGGATCCGAGCATGCAGCGCAACCTGCGCACAGTGGCGTGTTGTGGATGGCAGGCTTCTCTGCCCAGTTTGTTTCTGCAGCGGGGAACGGCCCCCCTCTGGTCATCCCTGGAGAACTGGACAGTTTGTCTGAGTAGGTGGAGAATAATAGCCTGTGTGCAAAGCCGTCAGAACAGCTCTCCCAGGTTGGAGCACCCTCTCCCCCCCCCCAAGGACTGACCTTTCAACACAAACCTTTCTTGGTGGCATCTCGCAGCACCTTTGGGACTAACCGGTGTCCCTTTGGCCCAAGCGCAGAGGCATTCCTGGAGTCTGTTGCGCTTCCCTGCCCTCTTTCTGCACCCCCACCCCAAATGGCAATCCTCAGGACCCTGTCCCCAAACTCCCCCCCCCCCGTTCCTTTCCCTCCCATGCCAGTTTTGCCTTCCCGAGCTTCGTTCTCAGAGCAGTAACGCTCGAGGGAAAGGCACCCACGGCCTGGCCAAGGATCTCGCGAATGGGCCGGCGTCTGGGCCGTGGCCTTCACAGGTCGCCAGAGCGTGGCTCCTCCCTGAAACCAGGTGGCCTTCCTTCTGAGCCAAGCTGGAGCCGCACAACATGGCCGGATTTTGCCCAGCCGAGCCCCCTGGGCTCTGCTTGGTGGGATTTCATCCTGGGCCAAATCGCCACAGTGTGCAGAGACCGTGTTCCACTCCTCCCTCCCCACTTTGGCTGACTCAGCCCCCACATTCCCGCTCGGCACAGTTGCATACCCGAGGGCCTGGGTGGCAGAGAGAGAGAGAGGGAGAGGGAGGACCTTCAAGTTTCCTCTTATTTCACTTTGACCTCTGAGTAACTCCATGAATGTGGATTATGGAGCCACCCAGCCTCTCCCTCAAGGATCCCCATGAAGCGCTCCTCATGGGCATCCAGAAGGGAAGAGCTGGCATCTTGGTAGATGGCTTGCAGTTGTCCTCGCCTCACCCCATCCTCGCAGTCTCAGCTGTGGGCTCTGCCACCATTTGCATGCCACCCTCTCAGAGGACACATCCGCCTGGCACCCGTTTGGCAGCACCCAGAACAATGCCATCCGGGGTGCTAGCAAGGATGCCAGGTTGGAGCCTCACCTTCAGGGCTGGGACCTTCTGTGCCGGCAACAGTCAAGTGAGGCAGCTTCCACGTTCCCAGAACAAGCCGGGTGCCTGCCAGGAAGCAGCAGGGGTGCCAGGAACTCAGGCTGGCTGGCCGGCTGGCAGGCCCCCCATCTGTAGTAGCACACGCGTGTCTGGCCTGCCCCCCCTCCAGAGCGGTGCGTGTTTGATTGGCCGCCTTCTCCTCCTCCTCCTCCTGCATGAGGGCCGCATCAGGTGCCAACCGGGCATGGCTCTCAGAACCTCCTCGTGTTGGCAGGAAGAAAGAGAAAGGCTTTTCCGCAGCAGCTTCCTGTCGGTCGTCCCTCCAAACACCCACGACTCACAAAGAACGAGCCACCCAGAAGGAATCCCTTCCCTTCCCGTTCTCTCCCACCTGTTCCATGATGGAGGCATCAATCCAGGGCTTGACTGCTGTAACTGGACAAAATATCTGTGAAGATTCTCAGTCCTCCAGGTGAGGTTCTCTGGAAGCTGAATCATAGCAACTGGCCTTTTTTTTAATTAGGCTGAAACGTTTTGCTATTCATCCAAGTAGCTTCTTCAGTCTGAGGAGAGTTGATAGGAGACCCCCCCCCATAGATCCTTCACCTTAGTTTCACTCCCACCCCCCGGGCTGATTAAGCTCCTTAGAAGGACAAAGGACTGGGGGGGTGAGGGATAATTCCACCTCTGGAGTCCTTCTCCACCCATTGTCATGGGTTGTTAAGGGTTAGGGTGAGGGTGAGGGTGTGGTCTTTCTGATGTGTGTGGTCTTCTTCTGGGGACTGATGAAATGTAACGGCACCTTTTGAAAGTAGGGACAGCCACATTGGTACATGCCCAACTGATACCTGTAGAGGCCACCCAAAACTGCCCGAAAAGGATGAGGAGACTCACAACAATATCCAAGCTCTAGGAGTCGCCCTGGAGGGACGGAGGAGTGAGAGGGGCAAGCAAAGGAGCCGAGACTCTCCCACCTCACCGGAAAAGGCCACCCACGTCTTTAGGAAAAACAACAGCAATGCAAACGTAGAAGGAGGAGGAGGAGGAGGAGGAGGAGGAGAGGAAGATGGCCTCCCAGCTCCCCATTTCCACCCACCAAAGGGCCAGAGTCTCACACTGGGTCGAGG